GCATATTTTAGGAAGACAACGACCAGGCTCTGGCTCTGACTCATTCAAAAGGACTTTCTGGTCTTTGCCCTTGTTTAGCTCTTTGAAGGCCAAAGAAGGAGCAGACAAAAACGTGGGGGACCCAGCACCCAGGACATAGGACCCTGGGGGTGGAAGTGGAGATGAAGGACAGAGGGAGCATCGTGTAGCTCAGATGCTGGGGCTGCCTGGCTTTATCTGACTAGTAATGAAAGGCAGCAAGCGTGTCAGGGAGTGTGAGAGAAGCAGATCAATAGAGATAAAACTGAGATGGAAGGAGCTGGAGAGGGGGTGGGGTAATAAGAGGGTAATAAACCCTGCGAACCAGCAGGGTTATGTTTGAACCTGATTTGAATGCACTCTGTGCTGGTGTAAACAAATATAGCAGGGGTAAGGCTGTGGTGAATCAGACCTAAATAGAGAAACAGAGAGGGAAAAGTAAGGAGATAGTCCTCTCATTTGTACTGCCCGTTAACCTGCCTTCCCAGCTCTGACCCAACCTTACATGCCCTGCTTCTTCCTTAGTCCTGCTGTATGGAGAAGCCCAGATCCTGCTAGCTCTGAGAATCCGGAAATAGCCTTTCCCTGCTGCCCTGGGCCACCCTGGTCTTCAGCCTACCATGAAGATGTGTCTGTCTGAGTGCAGGAAACCCTCGTTACCACCTTGTTCACTGAGGACCATGGGGCAGGATAGCTTCTGACAGTGCCCTGAACCAGTGGGCACCTACTTTCCTAGGAGAGATGACTGATGAGGCAAATGAGACTGAGACTCATCAGAGCATGTAAATGAAAACGTGCTCTCTCAGGCTGAGGGTCTTGTTACCATCCCCTGTCAGGGCAACAGTTTGCTTCTCTGGCCCAAGCCATTTTGCTCCTTCTACCTGGCATTAGTGACATCCACCTGATTCCAGCAGCATGATCATTAATGCTAGAAGTCTGGTTTTCCACACTGACCACCACTGCCTGCCCTTCTCCCTTCTTCTGTCAGTAGCCTCAATGTCAAAGGCCAAGCCTCAGGGACAGAAGGGACCTGTAGAAGGGATAGGGACAGTACAAATGGCTGTTCAAATGAGCCCAGAGGAGTCTCTCACAGGGAGACACACTGATCTAACTCCCCCAGTTAAACATGGATTGTATTTTCTAGCTCTAGAACTGTGCTTGAAGCAGCACAGCACCCCAAAGGAGCCTTTGGAGGCCAGAGCAGATGCATGAGAAGAGCAAAGCCAAGAGAATTGTTGATACTGGCAAGTAAAACCTTAACAAACTTAGTCTTCACCCAGATGAAGATTTCAAGATGTTTACTCATATTTCAAGGCTCACAGAAGCCTGGCAAAGCAGAAGTCAACTGCCTTTGATATGCGCTAAACTCATCAAGCTGAAGACCAATTCTCTTGCTGGCAATCACATTCTGGAATGCAAACTTGCCCTGACAGCACTACAGCTTTAACATGACACTAAACCCACACTGCCTACACAGGCTGCACTGGGCTCCCATCCATGTGTTGCCTCCTTTGCTTCCATGGAAGAAGATGCAGGCAGGCTGGAGAGGGTGCAGAGAAGGGCCACAAGGATGGTCAGAGGAATGGTATGACCTGCCATGTGGGGAGAGGCTGAGAAAACTGGGTTGGCTCAGCCTTGAGACAAGACAGCTTAGGGGAGATCTCATTACCATGTTCCAGTACATAAAGGGTGGCTGCCAAGAAGATGGAGACTCCCTTTTCACAATGGTAAAGGCAACCAGTAATAAGTACAAGTTGCTCCTAGGGAGACTCTGATTGGACTCCAGAAGAACATTTTTCACCATGAGCACAGCTAGACATTGGAATAATTTCCCAAGGGAGGTGGTGGATTCCCCTACCTTGGGTAGTTTTAAGACTTAGCTTGACAGGGTGCTGGGACATCTCATTTAAACTGTATCATTACCTAGAAAGGTTGGAGCAGATGATCCTTGAGATCCTTTCCCACCTGGCATTCTATGATCCCTGATATCTAAAGGAGCCAGACATGAAGAAGCCAGGCTGGAAACTCTCAGCCAAACAGCTTACTGCTGCTTATTGAAATGAGTGTCTGCTCACTGAGCTCCTCCCAGCCCCCCTTTCAGCTCACCTCAGCCTACCACATGATTTATGCATACAAAAAGAGCTAAGAGGTGGGGTTTTTTCCCCCAAAATGACCCTCACTGTTTAGACCCATCCTTGTGAAAGCAGCTATCCCACCGAGCAGGGGGAAGCATGCCCTCAGTGACACCTCCTGATCTCATGACACTGACTCATTTGCCCAGGAAGACACCCTGAAAGTGTACCATAAACACTTCTGTCCTTGCAGAGCCCTCAAACTACCTCCTCATGGCCGTACCCTGCCTGCATCTGAGCTGTGCTCCCTGCCGGGCGCGACGCTTCATGAGTCAGCAGACAATGAAGCCGTTTTTGCACGAAAATTAACGCAGCAGAGGAGGGGATGCAGGCAGGGGTTGGAGAAAGGCACAGCTTAAATGGGTGAGTCTGGTGCTTTGCCATGTAAGGGTTTTTTTTTTATATCTACAGGCTCCCAAAACGGGGAGATCTTACTGGTGTGAGAGCAGGGCGAGGAGGAGAGCGTGTAGGTCTGTGCACCCCTGAGTGCTGGGGTGGTCCTTGCAGAGCTGGAATACTGGGAAAAGACGGTGCCCTACAGCGGTGTTACCCGTTTCCTCACCTGGCAGCACCAACACTGTACTGACACAAGAGCAGACGCTCCCCGAAACGCACGGGAAGGAGCACAAACAGGCAGGGCCGGGCAGGAGGCAGAGGAGAGGAGAAGAGCACAGAGGAGCTGGCGGCGAGCAGGGCAGGCTGTGAAACGGCTGCTGGAAAGCGGCCATCGGTGCCCTACAGCGGTGTTACCCGTTTCCTCACCTGGCAGCACCAACACTGTACTGACACAAGAGCAGACGCTCCCCGAAACGCACGGGAAGGAGCACAAACAGGCAGGGCCGGGCAGGAGGCAGAGGAGAGGAGAAGAGCACAGAGGAGCTGGCGGCGAGCAGGGCAGGCTGTGAAACGGCTGCTGGAAAGCGGCCATGTCGGACACACGGGGCCGGTGACCAGGGCAGGCCCAGCCGGGGCACCGGGGCAGGCCCAACCGGGGCAGGCCCAGGCGGGGCACCGGGGCAGGCCCAACC